CCATCACCTAGGCGACTAGGCGACAAGGCGCCCCCCTGTCACCTAGCCTCACATTGGCGCCTTGAAAACTTTGGAAGGAAGCACAAGAAAAAGCCCCAGAGAGAGATAAAGTCCAAATTCTACTGTCCCTTTTTGAGGGATCCAAAACCACTGCATTCAAAATCTGAATTAAGTCCACAACAGTTCCCACCTCAGACTCCCTAAGGCCTCTTCTAAGACCCAAATCCTAATCATACCCAAAATTTGACTCAGAAGGGACCAAAAAATCAGACACACACTTCCCTTTGAAACGGGAGAGGGAGAATAAAGAGGGAAATTGGTCTTTCAGAGGTACATCCCCCACCCACAAGTGTTCCCAAAATTTTACCTAATTCCTAGAGTAAAGATCATACCTGATGTTTGGTAGAAAGGATGGGAGAATGGAATGTATGGATTTCCAAGGAGAGGCCAAGTTAGTCCTTGCCACAAGCCTTGAATCCTAGCCATCATCTACCTGTCCATGAATACTCAAGATAACCTTGATCCACAACCTTTTTTTTTTTATAAGTAAATGGCAAAAATTTTATTAACCTTGGCCCACTCCCAAAATCCTCTTTTTTTGATGACGGAATTCAGGAAGAATCAACACCCATATACCACAAATCTGCCCACAGCCGCAACCATCTTCTCCATGCTACAAGCCTTGTCTTCAAAAGTCCTCCTGTTCCTTTCCTTCCATATGTTCCAGCATATTGCAAATGGGATACAACTCCATAGTAACCTCACCTTCTTGCACCCAGACAGCCAAGGCCATGTTGAAAAAATCTCAATTGTTGTGGTTGGGTGAAATCCAGAGACCCTAAACATGGAAGTAAACACATTCTACAGGAATTTTGAGAAGACGCATGAGATGAATAGGTGAATCATGTTCTCCTCCTGTTCCCCACAAAGGCAGCATCTGGAAACCATGTTAAAGCCTCTGGATTTCAAGTGATTGGCTATCAAAATGCTGTCCATTGCTATCAGTCAAGCCAGAGCTTCCACTCTTGGAGGAACTGGGTTTCCCCAAATGCCCTTAATGTGATTCACATCTGAGATAGATCTGCTAAGAGCCAGATAACATGACTTTACTCTGAACTTGCCATTCTTGCACTCTTTCCACCAAAGCTTGTCTCTGAGCTGAATTGTAGGTTTTATACCCTCCAGTTTCTCCAAGAGAGAAATGCATTCTTAAACTTCTCTGTTCAATAAAGGCCTCCTGAATTTTGGACTCCAAATCAGCTGCTCTCCCCTCCTTTCATAACAACCACTAACAGTGACTTCTGCCTCTTGGTCCACAACTTATCCCTATCCCCTCCAAACCTCCACAGCCATTTCCCCAACAAGGCTTCATTTTTCTTCCGGACATTACCTAATCCCAAGCCACCCTCAGCCCTACACTTGAAGACTAACTCCCAATTCACTCTATGATCTTTCCTTTCCCCCCCTAGATCCCACAAAAAATCTCTCATCAGCTTTTCCAACACTCTACTTATTTTTTCTGGGTTTCCAAAAACAGATAAGTAATACACCGGCAAGCTAGCCAATGTAGACTTAATCTAAGTGATTCTACCACCCAGGGATAAATAATTCTTCTTCCAAGGCATCCCCAAGTAAATCATAGGCCACTGTGACACCACACATCCCAAAGTTTCAGCCATGTCCCTCACCTCTCCTTTTCCATGTTAACCCCTACCACACAGCTCTTATCAAAATTAACCTTCAAGTTTGACATTTTTTTCAAATAGTTGCACTACCTTCTTCAAATTTCTAACCCACTTCACATCCTCCCCTTCACAGAACAAAATAGTGTCATCAGCAAACTGTAGGCGTGTGACAGGTAAGCTATCTCTTCCAACCCTCCACCCCTCACTAAGTTCCTCTAATGTACCCTCTCCATTAATTTCCCCCAGCGTTTTAAAAGCGAAAGGCGCACAAAAAGCGATAGGTTCCAAATGCGCCTGAGGCACAAAGCGCGAGGCGAGGCACGCGCCTTTTTAAAAAAGGCGCACAAAATTTAAAATATATATATATAAAAAATAGAAAGGGGTCGAGCCCTGTTTTACTGTTTTCAAACTAATATTTGCTGTTGATAAATATATATATATATATATATATATATATCTGTTTTAGTGTGAAACAGACAAGAAAAGAAGAAGAAGAAGAAGAAGAAGAAAGTGGGGGAAGCAGAAGCAAAGAAAAAATTAAAAAGAAAAAAAAAGAAAGGGGTCGAGCCCTGTTTTTCTGTTTTCAAACTAATATTTGCTGCTGATAAAAAAAACATTGTAGAACAGTGGGGCGGAGCCCCTGTTTTCGTGTGAAACAGACAAGGAAAGAAGAAGAAGAAGAAGAAGAAGAAGAAGGGGACGGAGCCCCTGTTTTACTGTAAAAATATTTCAGAAGAAGAAAGACAATGAAAAGAAAAACAAGAGTGGGCGGAGCCCCTGTTTTTCTGTGAACAAGAAGAAGAACTGAAGAAGAAGGAGGAGAAGAAGAAGGAGAAGGAGAAGAAGAAGGGGGCGGGCGGAACCCCTGTTTTCAATGTAAAAAGAGAAAAAACAAATACCTGATGCTGATTGCTGAAAGCCTGAACGTTGCAGTTGGTCGTCCGACTGAGAGATGGCCTCTGATAGAACTTCGAAGGTGGCTGTTCGATTGAGAGATGGCCTGAACTTGATGATCCAAGAAGAACATGGGGGCTGAGGGCTCGAGACTTCGACTGATACTGGGAGCCTGAGAAGCCTTGCATAGCAAGTTTTTTTCTCTCGAGAGGTTCGTGAATTCTTTCTTTCGTATTTGCTATACCATATCCCAACCATTTTGGCACATAAAAGGAAATAATCTATATATATATATATATATGATTATAACCTATCCATAAAAGTTAATTTAAAAATAAATAAAAAAACAAAGAGCAACCAAACATAGGCACGCGCCTGGTCTGAGGCGCACGCCTTAGGCGCAGAGGCGAGCGCCTTACTAAAGTGTCACCGCCTTGACCCAGGCGAAGTGCCTGGTCTCAAAAACACATCGCCTTGCGCCTCAAGCGTGCCTAAGGCGCGCCTTTTAAAACACTGATTTCCCCATCTGTTATCAGAGTAAAGAGGAATGGGGGAAGGGGGTCCCCTTGTCTAATTTTCCTAGTGGCTGGAAAGTGATCCACTATAGATCCATTCACCAGGATTGAGTAATGACAAGTCTCAATACAACCCAGGATCTTTGCACCATTTTACCCCAAACCAAAGCAATCCATTACATGCAATAAGAAAGACCAATCTACCATGTTATAATCTTTCTTTAGATCCAACTTACATACAATCCCTTTCCTTTTTCTTCTCCTCAAATCCTCCACACATTCATTGGCAATTAAAATTTGGTCCAAAATTTGTCTATTTCCCACAAATGCCCCTTGATTATGTGATATTAGATATGGAAGCACTTCTCTAATTCTTCTAGACAAGACCTTAGCAATGATTTTATACAAGTTGTTAACCAGACTGATAGGCCTAAAGTCTCTCGGATGATTTGCTCCAACTCTCTTTGGAACCAGTGCAATAAAAGTTGAGTTCACCCTCCTTTGATAAAGTTCATTGAAAACTTTAAGAATGTCTTGCTTCAAAATCTCCTAAAAATCCCGGTAAAAGGCCACAGTGAAACCATCCAGACCTGGTGCCTTAGATCTATCCATTGAAAATATTGCCTCCCTTATTTCCTCCACCTCAAATTTTCTTTCAAGCCACTCTTTTGCCTCCTCAGAATGTTTTGGCTAATCTAGACCTTCCAACCAGATCCTCTGATTTAGGGTTCTTCTATATATAGATTTAAAATGCTCCACAAAAGCCCTGGCAATCTCATCCCGCAGAGTAAGGGACACCCCATCAATCTCCAATTTTGAAATCAGGTTTTTCCATTTTCTCCCGTTGGCCATTGCATGAAAAAATTTGGTATTTCTATCTCCCTCCTTGACCTACTTATGTTTCGATTTTTGTTTCCAACTAACTTCTTCTTTATACAGTATGTCCTCTAACTGCTTCCTAAGCTCCCATCTCTCTTCTTTATCCCTGTCACCAAATGTACCCTCATTTTCCTTTGCATCTATGTCCTTAGGTGATTTCTTTAGAAATTGGAAGGAGGTAGCAGATTCAACTTCTCAGAAACAAGCAATCAGCCCTATTTGGACTCCACCAGAAAGAGGTTTCATTAAACTAAATTTTAATGGAAGTAGTTTAGGCAATTCGGGGTTGTCTAGAATTGGAGGGGTATTTAGGGATGATGAAGGTAAGGTTATTGATTTATTCTCGGGCTGAGCTGGGAAGGGACTCTTTAAGGGCAGAAGTGACGGCTATGATGGAAGGGGTGCAAAGGGAAGGAGCTAAGAACCTGAGGAAGTTAATTATAGAAGGGGACTCCAAACTGGTTGTGACTTGGCTGCAGACAGAGAATGCTGAGATGTGGAGGTACAAGAATGAAAAGAATAAAATTTGATGGATTACCAAGAATATGGATCTACGACTACATTGGGTGAAAGAACTTCAAATTCTATGGCTAATGCCCTAGCCAAACAAGGGATGGGGAGAAATCAGTTGTTCTGGGCACAGTTGTAATTTCAATTGTCATTGTACTTGGAGGGGAGAGATAAGAGAGCTTATCTCTCACTGTCTTCTTTGTGTTCTACTCATATTCTCAATATTTTAATAAAAAGTTACACTTATTGATAAAAAAGAATATTAAATTTATTCTCAACACATGGCAGGTTATCATAGGCAAGGCACCAAGCCAAGGTCGCCTAGTCGCCTAGGCTAAAATGCCTTGGCAACTATGTGTTACCCTATCTCAGGAGTACTCGGTAGTGCACAATGAGGAAAAGCAAGACATTTGATGCTGTAGGCACCATCTCCTAGTCCTACCTATTCAACCCATGTTTCCGAGAATCCCAAGACTTCAGTTTTACCAATTGTTGAAAGTGACTGTGCTGGACTCACCAGAAGAATTTGATGGTAGAGAAAAGCAGTGATGGAAATCACTTGAATAAGCATTCTCATGCACCTGAAACATTGAAGGAAGATATATCACAAAGTCAATAACAAATAGCAGCTATTACTTAATCTCAAAGTTGGTAATTCAATATCACCCTCATAAATCACAAATTGATCAACCAAGTAATGGCCATCCCCAAGTCCCCAGTCAACTAGCTACTTTCTTATATCAGTATAAAACATCATATCAGAGGTTAAAAGATTCTGAACCATAATTGTCAAGAAATATGGGCAAAGTGGAGCACCCAATCACGAGATTGTCTAGGGATTGAAATTTGACAAAGAAAAGATTAGCTCTAGGTTAATTCCCAAATTTTATATTTCAAACAGCATGCATAAAAGCAGAAAAAATTGCTGTTTAGTAAATATCACTGAATGACTGGATTCATCTCAAAACATGGGAAATCATCATTTCTAAAAGAAAATTGCACTTTATATCTATTAATTTCAACCTTCAAACACAACATTATAATAAAATTGGTGTTTAGTAAAATTGCATGTCAAAAAATTATTATTAACTAAATGGGCTATAATTTTATGCGAATAAAATTTGAGGAATACAAAGAAAGCTATGTTCTAGGTTAATTCCCAAGTTCTGTATTTCAAGTAGATACAAATTGAAGAAATAACGATGTTGTTTACTAAATAACACTGAATTTCATCTCACAATATGGTAAGTCATCATATCTAAAAGAAAATAGCATTTGCAATCTATTAATTTCAATCTTCAAACACAACATTATAATATAATTAGTGTTTAGTATTATTAACAACTAAAGAGAGCTTAACTTTATACAAATATAATTAGTGGAATACTAATCTAACACATTTTTATCCCTTACAACACTGTCTAGACATGATGCCTTCCCTTGTTGGAATGAGAGGGCATAGGAGTACTTGAAGAGTACCCTAAGTCTGGTATGCAAGAGTTTGGAATTGATTCTAAGCAATACGCTGAGTCTGAGATGCTTCCCATGAGGTCTGGAGAGAATTTCCTTAATGCTGTAACTTTCCATTAGACTAGATGGGACAAATTATTTGGAGTGAGAATAGTCTATCACAATCTATTCTGGTGGTCTCAGTGTTGTTTGTACTGTTAAAATATAGTAAAGGCTGAACCTTGCTGGGGTTTAGTGGCCGGAATTTCAAAATTTTGGCAGTCCAAACATTGAGAATCAAATTCTCCTTTTGCAGAATTCAATTCTCCTAGGATTGAACTAGCAATGGATTGAACCAGATTTGATTTCAATTAATGTAATGAGGTACCTGATACAAAGACCACAAGATTCAAGGTCAAATCGTTCTCCCAACTGAAGATGGCATAGTTGAATAGTGAGGCCGATCCTGCAACAAGTTTCCAGCCGAGTTTCTCTCATGGGTAGGTCGAACTAGGGCTTTGGGTTGCAAGAGAGTAGAGAACAAGGTGGAAGAACGAGGTGCACAAGCATGTGCCAACCTCTACTTCTTACCTCCCTTTATAGGCAAGCTAATTCTAATGTAATTAGAACTATCCAAATCTGCTTTGGTTAGAATAGTCTCTCACGGGTAGGTCAAGCTAGGGTTTTGGGTTGCAAGAGAGTAGAGAACAAGGTAGAAGAATGAGGTGCACAAGCATGTGTCAACCTTTACTTCTTATCTCCCTTTATAGGCAAGCCAACGCTAATGTAATTAGGACTATCCAAATCTGATTACATTAGGCTTCTAATTGCATTAGTTATTAGGGAGATCCATATTCAATCCCATATCCATATTCGGCCCATGCACATGATGACATGACAACATACAAGCTAATGGGATAAGTCACATTACTCAAGTGGTGCATTAAAATGACCATTGCAAGTCTTATTGGGCTTGAATAATGTATGGCAGGGGACCCACAAAGGTCTTATATCATTTCATATGGGTTCGGCCCATGTAGAAAAAGCACGTGGATCGAATTCACCAAGTAAACCCAGTGAACCCCTAAGTCAATCGAATTGGGCTCAGTATGGGCCCATCACTTAAGTCTAAGTGATCTTTGGTTTCAGCCACCTTATGAAGCCCAAGAATAATGGACTAAAATAAGAAAAAGGCCATCAGGTTTCAGCCCTTAATGGTCTTTTGCTCTTAACCTCTCAGTCCAAAATAATCAAACACCTAATCACAAGAAAGGACCTCTTCCCCAACTGTTAAATGTAGTGTCACAATCTCTGCTTAAATGGATCTTGGGATTAAAACCTTTTGCAAACATTTTCATAAAATAACATATTATAAATATAAATATATTTAGCATGATGATTTCAAAACAAGTCGAAATCCACTACTGGAAGTTGAATGACCCGGCGCAACATTAGAACTGCTAGAACTCTCCTCATTAAGAACATCTAACACCATGTTTGCTGAAGCATTTTTCTTCCTAGCCTTCTTTTGAAACTTCTTAGATTTTCCAACGAGGTCCCAACTCCCAACACTACTCTCTAGTAGACCTGTTCATGGGCTAGGCCTGGCCGGGCTCGGGCCGGGCTTTTACTCTTCATAAACATGATTTTGTTAGGCTCGAGCCCAGCCCTAATAAAAAGCCCAAAGCCCAACCTAACAGAAAAAAGAACTCACCGTCGGTGACTGTGTTCGGCGGTGCTGAGTTCACGCCTGTGAGAGAGAGAGAGAGGATTCACCGCTGCCGCCGATGCTTGTGTTCGCCGGCTCGCTGGTGCCTGAGTTCGCGTCTGAGATTCTAAGAGAGAAGAAGTAAGAAGAAGAGCGAGAGAGAGAGAGAGGACTCACCACCACCACCGGTGCCTGTGTTCGCTGCCTCACGGGTGCCTGAGTTCACATCTGAGACTCTAACTTTCTAGAAGAAGTGAGAAGAGGAACGAGAGAGAGAGAGAGGACTCACCGCCGGTCCGTTGGACTTCGTTGGTTGCGTCGGTGACTGTTCACCAGTTCTGTCTGCCTGAGAGTGTGAGGTTGTGCAGGTGAGTGTTCCACTACTGAGATGAGAGGTTCGGCTAGAAAGAGATGAATGAGAAGAGAGGGGTTAGGAACTTAAGATATTTAGGGTTTTTTATTTAACCTAAAAGTCAGGCCGGGCAGGGCTTTTTAACATATCCCGAGCCCGGCCTGTAAAAGTCGTGCTCGGGCTTTTAGGCCCGAGGTCAAGCCCGCGGGCTCAAATCTGTGTTCAAGCCCGTCCGGAGCCCGGGCCGGCCCGTCGGGCTACCCGGCCCATGAATAGGTCTACTCTCTAGTTTGTTGTGACCTCCAACAATGGGTATACCACAATTGATCTTTATCACCATCTTCACTTCCACCTTCTTACCACTTACGCTGCCATTTCTTGTCATAAGGGCTACCTGCTCTCCTTCAAGAGAATTCATTGCAATTCTCCTACTCTCCTCTGACTAAACAAGAGAGTACACTTCTTGAATAGATGGAATATCCTTACTGCCCAAGACCAAGAGTTTAGGCCAACAAGAAAAGCAAATACACGCTACTGATTCAAAAGCTTCTTGAAAGCTTTTGTATCTTGCTCACACCCCCAATTCAATGCTCTAATAAAAGTCAAGCTCCCTCTACATTGGAGTGGGGAAAAGTAAACCAATAGGCTGGTCCCATATCTCCTTGGCTGTGTTAGCCCACAAAGTTTTTTCTCAATCTGGGTTGAATAGTGAATAACAGATATGACAATAGAATATGTAGTTATCCTGGGTCCACTTCTCACATGCAGGCCCCCTTTCTTTTGGTTCAATAATGTTGCCAGTTAAATAACCCAGCTTGCCTCTTCCACCTACAAACAACTTCACCCTCGATCAATGCAATGTAATTCCAAAAGATGCTAAATCTTCAGTAGCCATAAAATATGATGCAAAGGATCAATACAAAGATTCACCACAAACGCCCAACAACCACAAAACAGCCAGGCTCAAATATAGGAACGGGTTCGGTGCAACAAATATAAGCTGCTCCTTTCTATCAACCTGTAACTTCTTAGTGTATCACAGCACTTAATTGCAATCAGATCACAACAGCTCCTATAAGTCTTAAGAACAAGGTCTGGACAGATGCCTAGAGAACACTCTCCTCCAACCGTACCATACAGTAATGAATTAACAGCATAACAGATATGTGTTTATGATTAAAAATATATGATGTAAAAAAAAATAATATAAAGCTTGAGGGAGGGGGCAGATTTGACAGCTGGCCCACTCCACATAAATTCAAATTTTAAGTTGTTCTGATTATGGGGGGGGAGTTAAGCAACCACCCCACATATGAAGAGTGGGGAGGTTGCTCTAACCTCCCTACCCCATAACTGTCTCCCTCTATATAAGGGGGAGAGGAGAAGAAATTTGAGCGGCAGATTGAGAGAAGGGAGAAGAGAAAGAGATAAGAAAGAAAGAAAAAAAAGAGAGAGAGAGAGAGAGATGAGAGAGGGAGAGAGGAAGAGAAGAAATAGAGGAGGGAATTTGAAGTTGGGCTGACTATAAGGATAGGCTTACACAGGTATAAATCTAATCCTTTCCTTCTATCTCTTTAAAATTTTATCTATTTCAATCCTTATCTTCTCTCTCTCTCTCTCTCTCCCTAGAGTTCTATAAGAACTCAAAAGCTTATTTCAAATTATACATATATGTATATCTGGCGGATCCCATCCACCTCAAAGACAACAAAAAAATAATAATAATACTGGGTAGCCTCTGATATGTCGGTGGATTCTATCCACCTCAAAGAATTTCAGTAGGCTAACCCAGTGCTGTCAATACACCTAAAATGGGACAGGTGTGCTGACCTGTAACAACACTTTGCCACCTGTTGCAACACTATTATCTACCTAAAATGGGACAGATATGCCGGTTTAACACTTTGCCACCTGTTGCAACATTCTTGCAGACCTGAAAAGGGGGGCACATGTATTACTGTGGCAGCCTATATTGCCACTTGTAAATGGCAGGATTCTGGGTCCCACTGTCGGTGGATCCTATCCACTTAAAAGGGGGGCACCGCATGTGTTACTGCTGCAGACCTGAGAAGGGGGACAGATGTACTGGTTTGCTATTTGTTACAGCCAATATGGCAGACCTCTGGGTCCCACTGTCAGTGGATCTTATCCACTTAAAAAGGGGACAAATGTGTTGCTGTGGCAGCTTATATTGCCACTTGTAAATGGCAAACCCCTGAAATGCCAAGAAGGGTTGCTTGATAAATCTAAGGGACACATTGTTTTCAGTTGGCTGCCAACTGTTAGAGGGGCCAATTGTTATATGATGTGGATTTTATCCACTCTTACCACCTGAATAAAAACTAAAATGGTTAAGACTCAATCGGTGGATCCTATCCACCTTAGTTATAAAAAAAAAAATATAAATAGCTAAATAAAATATAATCTGACCCCCACTATTGACACTTGTGAATTACCATGAGTTAATGGGTCCCACTATTAAATCAGTAATAGTGGGTCCCACTGTTGGAACATTTAAGTTTAAAGTGGGCCATGCCCACTATAAAATCAAACTAGTGGGTCCCACCTGTCAGCGGGACCCATGTCAAAATATTTAAGTTCAAAACATTAAAGTGGGCCATGCTGTTATGGGCCCGGGAATAGGATCTCGTCACGGGTCGGTCCACGGGGAAAACCCTCTGTTTTCCCTTGTTCCTCCCTGATCTTGATGGACCTATCTAGGCGCCCTAATGGTGATTTGTTCAAGAGATCACCTAACTCTCCTTTACTCTCTTTCTTGACTGAATATTCGATATCCTCATTCAAT